CCTTCTGTGTATATGTACAAGTTTATGACTTTTTCCTTTTCCCTTTCTTCTTTCCTCTATCCCAGTTACTTTTCCTTTTTGATCAGTTTCTTACTCTTATATAACATGTAAAGATTTTGGATCATATATACGCTTTCAGTTTCCTATACCTCAGAGACAATATGGTGTTGTATATGCGAGTTGATTTAATTCACTTATAAGTATCATCTCAAGTCGCATCCATTTACTCACAAAAGCCTCATGCAGTCTTCCTTTATAGCTGAGTACTACTCCATTTATAAAAATACATCTTTTTTACCCATTCCTTGATTGATGGGCACTTGGGTTGAAAATTTGTAATACCCAAATCTTGGCAACAACCCTAATCCTTGGAATTTTAATATCTGGCACATATATTTGTTCTACAAGTATTAATTGTTTTGATAATTGGTAAAGATTTCTACCATTGTATACACATTGCTTCAAGTTTCTGTTACTTTAATCCTAGGAGTACATTTAGGAGCACATTATTCTTGTTTTACAAATAGCTGCATGTGAGTATGTGTAAAAAATATATATTTTCCATCTCTGGTCAAGATTATTGCACTAAAGGATTTGAAATCAAAGGAAGTTTAATAAGAAGGTTTATAAATGCATATATTCTTCCTGCAAAGTTACACTTCAGAAAGTTATATTAGCTTTTTTATGGAATTTATTTTGATGAATTGTATGTGTATGTGTGTATAGGATTAAATATGTGGTGCCCAGTGTGATATTTTGATGTATCAATATATTATTAAACCAAGATAATTAACATATCTACACTTCGTGTAGTTATTTCATGTATGCCAAGAAAGATCTATATCTGAAGGGTCTTTTTTTTGTACCAGGGATTGAGCTGACCACCTCGCACTTGCCAGGCAGGGGCTTACAATGCTGAGCTAAACCCCCAGCTATCTGAAGGTTTTATAGAGGATGGAATAAGGAACAGTAGCAGTGGCAACTTGCTATGCAAGAGGGAAGAGAATTTAAATTCACTAAAAAGTGGACAGCGATTGAAGTGAATGCCACTGGATAAGAGAAATATTTTTATCAGAACTGGAAAATGGACATAAGCATGAGGATGGGATTTGTATGTTGCATTATAAGTTGATGCTGCTACTGCTGCTGTTTGTGTTTCAGAAGCAGAAAATGAGGAACAGAGAAGGAATCATTTGGTCAAGGGTGCAGAGTTCAAAGGATCCGAGTCAGGACAGGTACTCTGTCCTCTGAGCCTAGATGTTATGGCTTTTGCATTCTTCCACGTACCTTAGTTTGGGAGGAAACACTCGGTCCTGATCTAGAGAAAATCATGAGGATTTTATTTTAGACATGATGAATGTGACCTGAGAAAAGGGTAGCATAAAATGGTCAGCAGATTTTCTTAAGAATTTCGGAGTAGTATTATCCGTAAAATATGTTTTGAAGGAAAATCTAATGTGGATTGATTCAATGTCTAAAGAAAAACTATTCAGTACAAATAATCACCATCTAATTTAGCTCATGAGGGTCTCCATGGCTTCCCCCTGTGCCCATCTCCATTGTTATACCCCCTCTCTTTTACCCATGGATAGATACACTTTTAACACATTATTATGAGGAGTACAGTACTGTCTCACGACATACAGCTTGTCTCTTACACTATGTCTTAGGAAACCTTCTGAATATATTATTTTGTCTTGGGCTGCACTGAATTTCTACAGATAGAAGAGACATTTTCTGCCTGAGAGTTGGCACTAGCAAAGCCAGCACATTCTTCCATTTTCCTTCCTAAATGTAATGAAATGTGCCCAAAAGAGTGAGCCAGGGTCGAAGTTGGACAAATCCTGGAGTCACCAGGCATAGTTTTTTTGTAGAAGTGGAAAAAGATGACTTTTCACCACAAAGAACTGTCCTAAGAGGTCAGGTGGCATGCAGCGCATTACAATGGAATTAGTAAAACTTTAGCCAGGAACATTTAATCCTTCTCAAGAAACATGGTGCTAGACCTCTTGTTCAGAAGAGATGCCCTGAATACTGCTCTCCAAAGAAAATTGATAAATTCTATTTGCATATATAGTCACTAGTAATATTATTTAGTCAGATTTAATACCAACAAATGTTCAAAAGTTAGAGAAATTTGGGATTCTTGTGTCTATTACATGATGAGGTATAAACCTTATAAAAGTGGTTGAATACATCCTTTTATTAAAGAAGGGCCAATTTGGCCATAACTGGGATTTGTCATTTGTCTTGAACTGTTTACCAAATGCCTTGGAGTTGGCAAACACAAAGCCTAGTTTTGTTCAGTGTTTTCCCTAAATTTTTAAGCCCAAGTAATTCCTAGGGAAATTTAATCCATATGTTCCAGAATCGTTTACTCATAGCTCATCAAAATGTTTTGTAAGAACTATTTGATGTCCGAGATGTCTTTTAAAGCCTCTTCTTTCAGAAACAGGAAATTGTTGTTTTGTTATTTTTGTTTGTGTTTCTTTCCTAAGAGTAAACCACCCCCAAACTCACAAAGAATAGGAATAACTTCAAAATTTTTAACAATTGGGGTTTATCAGGTCCACTACACATAGAATAAAATTCTTATAATTTTTTTTTGTCTTTTTCCTTTTTTTTTTTTATCGGTACCGGGGATCGAACTCATGACTGCCTGCTTGCAAGGCAGGAGCTTATGCCGCTGAGCTAAATCCCCAGCCCCCTAGAATAAAATTCTTACAGTGAAAATTTTACCACTGTGTATTGACGGATAGTGCTGGTAGCTGGCATTTTTAGTAGTTGATTAATAGCAAAGAGATTTTCGGTAATTTTTCCAGAGTTTTCAGTAATTTTTAAAACTATTATTAGGTGATATATAAAAATGTTGTACAGTAATAACCATAAAAAGAATAAAAATATACTCAATTATAGTTTCCTTATAAAGGCACCATGTCTTACTGGCTTCATAGAATAACTGTATTAACTGCTGAATAATAAAATGAATAAGGCAAATTCAAGAAACTCATAGAAGTGTAATAGACCTGGTTAATAAGTACATTAAAAGTACATTAAAAGATCTTCAATTATGCTAACATTCACGAATACTTTCTGTACATTGCTAGCAATTGAGAAGATAAGAAATAGGCACTTACTATGTGGATATAAATTGATTAAGTTTTTATTAAAGGAAATTTGGCATTATAAAGTTTAAATACATGCACATGTCTTTTGTTTCATTAATTTAACATCTGGTTATTCAACCTGAAGAAAGTTACATAAGCATAAAGATTCCAAAAATGTGAATTGCAACATTAGCAACAATGAAATGAAATAATTATCTAAGATGTCATGAAATCAGTGGAAACAAAGTGTTTAGGAGATGAAGCCGGTAGTGATTAAGAAAATGAGACAGGCTAAGATTACTGGAATGAAATGGTTATCATCAGAGATTTTTGTCCTAATAAGTTCAGAGGAAAGAATCCTCCCTGTACAAAAATGACACCAAGTTGGGAAACTTGGAGAAGGACTCTCTCTGTGTCTGGAGGTCCCGGGTAGGGACATTTACACAGTGTGATTCCGAGCAGGCATCTGCTTTCAAACAGGGCTCCTAAATGATTAATGACTTAGCGCGGGGTCTTCTCTCTTTGGAGAGTGGCTCACACACTGGAAAAATATTACCTGTTTTCCTTTCTCAACCTCATGCAGACTTGTTTCAGAAGAATAAATTTAAAAATTATATTCTTGTTGGATCTTCCAGGAGAGGGACTACCTCTTCAAGACACCTGTAAGTTCAGTAGCTGTGCCCTAAAATGAGGGCCAGTGAAGCTTTACTGGCACCTTGCTACCAAGGAGATTTAAAATTTTTTCAAGAGCAAATCAGTTTATAGACTTGCTCCTGGGCTCAGAACTCTGGTTGGCAACTAAGCAAAACATCTTATCTACCTAATGTAAGACCTGATGGTTTAAACCTCATCCAGTCTACTTGATAGATTAGGGGGCATCCTGGGCATGCTGAAGAAAAGTCAGTTGCTCTGAAATAAAACAGCTCTTGTGAGTTCTGTCAGAGAGGACAGGCATCTATCAACAAGGAATCATTATAAGACTAGCAGGAGCAAAGGAGATATGGAAGTAACTATTTAGGGGTATTTTTATATTTTGAACAATCCCCCTTCCTTGGGGTGTTGCTCTTGCTAACGGTGGTCCAGCCACCATGACTAAGACTCCACACACGGAGTGGGAGGCTAAACAGAGGGTCATGAAGGGCAAGGGTGTTACAGCCTACCCCAAGGAGCTAGCTCTGCATTAGCCCTACCACAGCTCACAGATGCACTGAGAGGTCTCCAGTGAGCTCAGGCCATCTCCCTTGTAACAGAGCAGGGGTTGTTCCCTGCAGAACTGGAATGAGAATGATAGAGGCAAACACTTCAAGAGTGAGAGCTGTGCGATGGGAATCAAGAGCTGCACCCCCATCAGCAACCTCTGCCCGGGCACCGTGGATCTCACTCTATATCACAGCATCAATGTCCTGGCCTCACAGAGCTACCTCTGGTCCTTCTCCCAAATAACCCCAAGGGCGTAGACTCTCTGCTCCTTTGCTCTGGTTTTGTGACTTCATGGCAGTGATCATTATCACTATTGTTTGCTTATTATCTGTTTATTTAATTCTTCCAAAATAAAATGTTGGATTCAGGCACTATGGCTCACATCGCTATAAGTCTGAGGTCAGCCTGGGCTACAAAGAGAGTTCAAGGCCAGGCTGACCATGTCTCAAAAAACCTCCAAACAATAAAAATAAAATAAATCCTAGAATAAACATTTTTTGGTAATTCCATCATTTTAACAGTGCCTCTTATATGTATATAGTACATTATTTTTCAGTGAATAAACAAATGAAAGAACGGTAGTTTCTTCATACAAAATGTTGGTTTGCAGATAAAAGGAATGAGTTACATTTGTAAGTTCTGATGTGAAAATGTGTCCAGGCTGTATTTTAAAGATGCGAGGACAAGTTTAAGAAGAGTTTAAAATCAGGATTTCATTTTTATTTCAAATGCCACAGAAAAAATAATTTCATATGATCATACATATGAATTTTAAATGCTTGGAAAACTGAAATCATCGATTATTTTTTAATGTGGAGTGAAAATTCATACAGGAATAAGACATATATAATGGTAAGCTATTATATCCCTGGGTATCAGATGCTAGGAGAGGGTCATATGCTAGATCCTGAATCTGTGGGAGACAAGTGAGAACTGGAGCCAGCAAATGCCATTTCTGTACAATGTTTTATTTTTCTATAATACATATCTACAATGCACTGTAACTTACAATGCACAGTAACTTACAGTATGACTTGCAATATGAGTATTTATGAATAGTAAAAGATAATTATACTGAAATAAATGTTACATAGATTTGATCTCTCAATTTTTTTTCTTTGCAGATCTAATGCTTTATTAATATTCACATTTCTTTAAGTTTATTGGTATAATTTAGATAAACATAATGATCATACTCATCCTAAGGAATTTGTACCTGCATATATCTTGATTTCTCTTTTTTCTAGGTTCCCTCCCCTCCCTTCAACCTCTCTTACCCTCTCATTTACAAAGTCCTGTTTACATTTTATTCGTCTTTTATGGCTTTTTTCCTTTTTCTTTCCTTCTTTTCCCAGGCCCCCCTACTTCCTCTTTCGAACAATTTCTTTCTGCATAATAAAACATATTGTACACTTTTGTTCTTATTGACACTTTTGGTTTCTTACACCAGAGAAACAATGTGATATTTACACAAGCATGACTGATTTATTTCACCTAAGAGTATGATCTCAAGGTGCATCTCGTTGCCTAGAAATGTCTCAAGCATACCCTCCTTATGGCTAAAAACCATATTTTTTAATCCATTCCTAATCTGGAGGTATTTACCATAGTCCTTGTCTTACCAGCATTTATTCTTTGCTGAACAAGTGCGATGTGCCAAGCATTAAATTTCTCCCCCTCACAGATTTCTAATCTATAGCATTTCCAACCAACGTTTTATACAAGTTTTCAAGCTGGTCAGAATTTTCTATTTTAATAAAAATTTTATATATGATATTTTAATATATTAATCATAAATAAATGTGGAAGGTAATCTGGGTTTTCCAAAGATAAGTGTAAAAACTCATAGAGATTGCGATGCATTTCTTGCCATGCTGCTACTTAGACAAAGAACTGATGTCTGAATCCAGAGCTCATAAGGAGAATTTATTTCATCAGCTGAAAGTAATGGGCCTGGTCAAAGCTTTGTGAAGGATCCTGTTTCAGTTTTCTTTTGCAGAACGTCAGTACTGATGATGCAAAGCCACAGTGGCATGCACTCTTCACATATGTAAGGCATCTGGGCATGAGCTGCTATTAGGTAGGCTCATTCATGTCTAGGGATCAGTTGACCGCCAGCCTTGGTTTTGTCTGAAGGCACAGAGGTGACACACAGTCTCTCTTCCAGTTTCTCTCTCTCACTTCAACCTGCAGAAGAACCTTGGCATGTTCTCGGGGAGGGTAATAGACATACGAGGCGAGAAGAGCAAGCCCAGCATTTTCCCGTCTTTCCAGCATCTTGTGCATGCATGTCAGTATTTACTGGTTAAATGAAGCTACGTGACACTTTCTAGATTTGAAGCAGGAGGACTCTAAACACTTACCTAACGCAAAGTATAATTAGAGGGAGGTGGAGGCTTAGGGGATTTTCAACCTACCACAGATCCTTTCAAGCTTCAGAGCAGTATAATTAGACTAATGTTTAATTGAATAACTTTTTTTCTCTCAGTTTGTGCTACCACATGTATAAACACATACACACAAACAATTAAATAAACACATAACTATGGAAAAGAGAAAACAAGTCTGAGATTTTTAGGCTGTTTTCAAATTTTGTATTTTTATAGTATTTTTATAAAATTATGAGCTTAAAAATAATATTTTCCTAGGAATTCCACTGTTGTTTGATAATTAGTATGATTGTCAATGATTAATATAGTGACCTGTATCACTTGGTATGTGGGGTTCCAATTGTTCTTTAAATGTTCTACTATCTTAATTAGCACATTGTTCATTTTTATTAGTATATTGAACAGAGCATGAATGAAAGGAAATGGGACTCAGAGAACATAAAAATGAACTTAATATGGGATAAAAATAGTGGGGAACTGAATGACATCAAATGGAGTTTTATCTCTTTGTACGGTAGATCCTGCAGATTTCTCAGGAAAACTACTGAAACACACACACACACACACACACACACACACACAGTTAAAATAAAAGAGCAAGCTTTGCTTTAAATGAGCTTTACCAATCAGGTAACCTGTTACATAATTAGTAGGCCTGATCTCATTAGAAATGTGCAAGAGTGGCAGACACAAGTGCTCTGCACTTGGAAAGACTCCCCCTTCTCTTCAGTCATCTTCATGATCTGTATCACTGTGTTCACCTGGCATTTCACAAACCTTGTTCTATTAAGCAATGTCTCTGCCTCTTATTACCTACATTCAGAATAAGCTGCTGATTATATCCACGAGATTTCACAGTTTCCATTACCAAAGTAAAGATTCTGAAATGTCCTACAATGAAGAATCCAATATAGCTTCCTTTAATCATGCTCACAATTTTAAAAATCTATTGGATATGCATGCATCTTTCAATGTACAATGATTTATATGGCATTAGAAAGTATTTTTCTGCAAAAAATAGTGAACTTTGTATTCTTTTACACACACACACACACACACACACACACACACACACACACACTCACACAAAATCTTCCAGGGAAGTGAAATTATTAAAGCACATCTTTCACTTAGAGCTGCTGTGTATTATGGAGTTTTGTCCTGCTGTAAATCATTGGGAGAAGCAGAAATTCTATATGTTCAGCAAGACTCTATCAGTAAGTAAAATGCCCTGTGACTGAGTGTGTTTCAGACTGAGAGAAGTCAGCAAAAGTGGAGGTGTCTTCCAGGATGCTGGGCTGTGTGTTGTGGAGTCCCCTTGATTGCTTTGGCTTATTAGAAAAGGTGATATAGCCTTAAGTTTTAGTGAAAAATAACTAGCATTTAGTTTACTGTGGTTATATTGGTTGAGGAACAACGGCTTTATATGATCTGACATGTATCCACTGAGAGGCAGGGCTTGAGTTCCTTTCCATTTGGGACACAATTTATCCATAACAGTGTGAGCTATAAGGGCCTTTATGTGATTGGGTCAGAAAAGAGGATGTACTTCAGAGATTTTTATGCCTTATTGCTGTTATTTTATTTATAATTATCAAATGATGATTGTACATATTTATGAGATTTAATGTATATTTTAATACATGTACACATTTTGTAGCGATCAAATCAGGGTAACTGGAATATATCTGTCACCTTGAGCATTCATTTTTGTGGTAAGAATATGCAGAATTTTCTTTCCTAGTTAGCTTAAAATATACTGTGTTTTACATTACTACTAACTACAGTCACCGTAGCATGAAATAGAAAGCCAGGCTTCTGCCTGAGATACATTCCTGTGAGCCCTGAGCTGCCATGTTGGAAGCCTGGCTGTCTTGAACCTACCATGCTGTGAGGAAGCACAGACCACATGAAGAGGTTGTGTGATTTATTCCAGATGGCAGCCCCAACAGACCTCCACGAGACAGGCAGTGTCTGTTACAAGAGCAAGTGAAGTTACCTGGAGAATTCCAGCTCCCGTGTTTGAGTTCTGCCAATAATCTAGTGTTTCTACCTGAGGCACCAGTAATGTGGAGCATAAGGAATCCCATTCCTATTGTGCTGTCTCGATTCTTGACCTACGGAATTTGTGAGCATGATAAAATGATTGCTTCACATTGTCAATTGCTGGTGGACTTTATTATCCAACAATGGTAGTTCAGCAAGTGGCCACATAGATTTCACTTTTTGACACTTTTACTAATATTACTAATCAGTATTTTCATGAGCAGCTATGGTAAGCCATATCCTTTTTAATACTTTCTTTATTCATCCAATCCTAACAGAAACTATAAATTAAGTTGCAATATCTCTTTGCTGGCTTGCAACAAAAACATCAAGGTTAAGAGAAGTGAACTAACTTATCCAATATCCTGTTTGCAATTTAAACTGTACAGCTTCAACTGACACAAGTGGGCATTTTCTGAAAAGAAATGGGGGAGGAAATAGAAGAATTATGTTGAAGTCAGTCTTATAAACTTCAGATGCCTTTTGGTTCTTCAAATAATTCAACATCTACCGAAAAGACTGAGGTCAGAAACATCACCACTAGAAATCTGATCTCCCTGTTAGACTCAATCTTTCGCTACCACTTTTTGACAGATTTATTATTTTTCTGGTGTTCAGAGCCATAGATTCTAATTTAATTATAAGAAATACCCTGACATGACAATCTGTAATACATTACAGATCTGCTTCACTTCTGGATTAGTTTACTGTATCATGGCTGACCCAGCCATATTTTCTGAGTTTCTGCTGTCTGGTATCCTAGTAAAATTACACTGATAAGGTTTTTGTTATTACTGTAGAGGAAAGGATGAGAAGTAAATCATATAACACATAGCTTGGTGTCCCACTCAGTTCCCCTTGAATGTCACTGGCCATCTGTGTGTCAGCCTCCTAGATTCTGTTTCTTATTCTTTGGTTGATTGCCCTATACAATGGACCTGCCTCATCTACTGGGAGAACTTGAAGAGCCTGGGGCTATACACACTTGAGTCCTGCCAGGTCTTGAGCTGTGTGTAAAACAGTAGCAAGCACTAGCTTGGCTTGTTCCTCTTCTCTGTCCTGACTCTCTCAGCTCTTTACCAGTTTTCCCAGGAGATCTTCCTTAATAAACCACTTGTGCCCAAATCCTTAGCTCAGAGTCTGTTCCAGGGAAAATATAAACTATGATAGAAGATCACAATAAATGTTAACACCACTAAAAAAATTGTCAAGTGACTCTCTCCAGAGGGTCTATTGCTGACACTCAGATGCATATTTGTTTCCACTCACATTAGTATGTCTGCAGTATTTTGATGCCATAACTGAGGAGTGCATAGCAAGCATCACCATAGTTAATAGCAAGCAAAACGTACTTAATAAAATACCAAGTCAATTTCAGTGCATCTGGTACATAATGTATTTTGAGTAAAACATATCACATGAAGAACAGTAGTATATAATGACCTAACACTTAATATAGATTCTAATACGGGTTTGCTTGGAAACCAGTGTTGAGTTTCAGGTTTCTGGCTTCATTTTTCTTTTAATGTGTATATTTTATTCTGAAATACTGCCTTAATGTCAAAACTGAATTACAAGTGCAGTGGGTATGTAGCTCAGTGGTAGAGAACTTACCTAGCATGTGCAAAATCCCCAGCACTGCATATCTGTCTCTATCTCTTTCTCTGCTTCTGTCTCTGTCTTTGTCACGTATATATTCAATATACCTTCAAGTAAAGAATAGTGATAAGAATAATAGAACACATGACTAATGGGGCTTTCCAGCCCACCCTGAACTATTCCATAAGAAAATCAACATAAATAACATTGCTCTCAGAAGTCAGGACTTGTAGTTAGATCTGCTAGAGTCCAGAGATCACAGGAAACATCAAAGCACATGACTTAATGGAACAGGGTATATTGGAAAAAATGCTCACCTTAAATAATAAGCCCACAGTTCAAATAGCAGGCCATCCTGAGTCATCCATATCCAGAGAACAAAACTGATGTGCTGAGGCCACATGGAGCTGCACACACACAATTCCCTGGAACCCAGAAGCAGGATCCCACTTTTTGAGAACTGCCATGCAAAGTCACTGGAATTTTAACATAAATACAAACAAACAAGAACCATGTTTTTTCCCAGAACAACTTCAGATAAAACTTAAAAACACTTAGGCATAGACATTTTCTTAAAATTCACTTACTTTTAAAATGTTTATTCCATGTCTTTTTATCGTCATGATTTGTTGATATTGATCCCATTAAGGATTTAGTTAAACTATTAGCTAAAAGTTAACCTTGGTAAACTCTGGGGGATTCTGTATTAGATACTTGGGATCTGAGATTGAGGAGCTGACCTTTTGGAAGGTAAGATGACATCAAAAAGCTAAAAATAAAATTCATGCACTAGCTTCCAGGGACCTATATCTACCACAAGTCAGTGCAAAACAAACCTCTCCCATTTAAGAAAGGATGAAGTGATTTGTAACTAAACCCAGTGATGTGAGTGGATCTCTCAAATATAATGTTGAGCAAAATAAAATGATTGTAGGATTCCATTAACCTAAAGTTCAGAAGCAGGTAAACGTTCTTTACGGTGTTAAAAATCAGGATCCTTTGATGGGATAGTAACTAGAAAGGAGCCTAAAGATGTTTTTCTAGTGCCATAAGGTCTCCATTCTTTCTCTCTTGTAATTGCTAAGAGGCACAAGGGCCTTACTGAGAAAGCACTGTGCTATGGGTAATTTTCTTTTGGTCTGCTGAGTAAAGCTTATAGGAGGCTACTGTTTTGGACCAGCCTCTTTCATCAGACCCCAGGTGACCAGATCAGTGCACAGTCACTTGTGCTGTGTCTAACAATCAAATCGACTTGAAAACAGGCCTGTTAAATAAATAAAAACAGGAGAGTCCAGTCAACCTGAGTCTGTGTAATAAGGAAGTCCCTGATATTTTTACCCTGGGAGGAAAGTAGCTTTGCAAAAATCAGTATGATTTTTGTTCTCTGCTTCTGGTCCTTTGAAACTGTTTTCTGTCTATACAGCCAACTCCTCTTCTCCACACTCTATCCTGTGCCACAAGTTGTAGCCTGATTCTAGAACCACAAATTAAAGTCAATTAAAACTTTACACCAAATTTGTTGAAATTTTGTCTTTTCCAGATTTGTTGTCAAATGTTCCAAAACGGATCATATCTGGCTTACTCTTAAGAATGTTGATCATTCTGCCATCTGTACCCGAATCAGCATGGTGCTCATGGAAAGTACAAATTCCTGGGTCCACAACAAACTTGTTGACTTAGATTCTCTGGGGATGGTGTCCATAAAGCCTAAATTATTAGCCATCTTGGAAACACTAAAGTGCTAACTTAGCTAAGTGCTCCATGGGTCATCTTTGGTCACTCTCAACAAATGTAAAGCCTGGCCTCTGAGACAGCACCTAAGGTCACATTGTCCCTTATTTGATCCGTGTCCCTCCCCTTGCACCCTTCAGAGCTGGCACCTGGGGTGCCAGCAGTCAAGTATTATATTTTCCTTTCTTCTACCAGATTCTTCAGTCAATGGAGTATAATGTTTACAAACCATCATTTATAAATGTTTATAGCATCCTTTACAAGGCAGCTGCATCCCTCAATGAGAAACAGTAGTGAACCGAATGAAAAATTGACTCCCATCATATACTACCTCGTTCTTTGAAGTGGACTCTCAAAGGGGAGGGAGAGTTAGCTCCTGGTTTTAATGCGATATCTTCATCTTGGCAGCACAAGGCATTGCTGATAAGAAGAGACCCTCTCCTTGTTCTGCGACATTCCAAGCATTGCATCACCATCTTCAGAAGCAGCTGCCTTGTTTGTGCCACATGATAATTTGGGCAAAGGCACAAATCAATACCAGGAATGGGTGTGTGGGGCGCATGCACTATAAGTACTGTGAGTATAAATAGAGCAGGAAGAATAACCTTTTTGTGAACTACTGTGTGGTAATCCTCGGGAAGCCAGGAAGCTGGTGTGGCTTCAATGGCCCTTTTATAACAGTACATGCACCCCCCACCCAGCTGCCCTTCTCCAGGCACTGGGCTGCTTACTTAAGTTACCATTTTTTAATGCAAATCATCATAATGGCTTGATAATTATTTCAATTGGCATTTATGGAGCCATTCAGTAAAAGAACAGCCAGGGCAAAACCCTAGCTAATCTTCCCACCTTTCATATCCCCTGGTTTGAGGTGGAATAACACAAGAAAGCCCCAAACCAGAGGCTTTTTGAAGTTTATTCTTAATGGACCCAACTCTCCCTCCCTGTTACTCTATGAAGTGAATTCAGCCCAAGTTAAACAGAATAGCAAGGGCATAATATTTGTGGTGGCTTGGAAGGAGAGGAGGCAATGACAAGCACCCCCTTCCTCCTTGGCTTGGCTTTCAGATTGGTTGGATAGCACTTTAACAAGTTGTTGTTATTATTGAGAAAAAATAATAAACATTTATTGAGTACGGTGATAAGGTGAGTATTCTAACGTGTTTCGTCTAAGAGAATCTTATTCAAAACATCTATTTTTTTTTTCCATAGAGGGTGAACTTTAAAAAAAAAAAAAAACTATTTTGTGGACTGTTAAGTAGTGTGCAATTTATTTACAGGAAGTCTAGCAAAACATAAATCCCTGCTCTACCAGACAGTTCCCTGTCCTTTCACCGAATTCCTGGACCATAGTGATTAGAGTCAGAAGCTCAGAAATGAGAAAGCCACACAACATGCCTGTTCCCAGGAGATGACAGGAGCAGGGGGAATGACTGACTGTCATCTCTGTCTGGAACAAGTTTGTTCTCAAGTCATACAGAGTACTCACATGCAGTGCCATTTACCGCGATGTAAATCCATAAAGTAGTTGAAAATCGCTCATTCTTGAGAATACGCAGCCCACCAGCTAGACTGCTGGAGCCAACATTGTATCTAGCTCTGGTTCTACACTTAGTTTTTAAGCCCATCCGTGAGCCCTTTATGGAAAACTGGCTTCTCACTGCTGACTCCAGACCAAAACTCATCAACTCCTGGGGAGGAAGATCCACTGGCTAATTGGGAAAGGCATGTTTAAGTAATTCCTTGCTTAAGTAGATCAATAACAATGTCATGTGAGGACCCTACTAATATATATTTTAATTCATTACATGACTCAATCTATTGAGCAACTTTCCAAATTTATCCCATAACAGTCTTCTTTTATTACTAGTACGAACTGTGAAACAGAAGTGTTTAATTTTTAAAACACTAATCCAGACCTGGATATATTTCAGTTGGGGTCTGTGGACTCCCCACAAAGCACACTGAATATCCATCCACAGCACCCTGATTCTGTCATGCTGTAGTTTGGTTGTTGCAAATATCTCAGAATATAATTCACATCTAGGCTTAAAAACTGCAGTTATTAAAACATAGTGCATTTAAAATGCTATGTTCAATGTAGTGATAAGTCAGTAATATAGTTTAGGATTTTAAGGACTGTGTATAATTGCTTACTTTGTGAATCTTATGTACTTTACCTTTATATATTTAAGAATATTATTCTGAGATATGTGCACTGTGTGCCCCAATAACATGAGTCCCTAGCACCAAAAAAATTGAAAAGCTTTCAGTAAGCTCTGTTTGTGGCTTCTGATGCAGGAAATGAATTTTACAGGTCAATCATACAATCCTGGCCCATAGTAATCTCAAAGGAAAAAACTGTCCCCAAGTCATGGAAAATCTTGACAAATAAGAAGAATGGATCGGGAAAGATCTGAATGAATCAATTAAAACAGTGGTTCTTTTGCTTCCCCAATGTGCATTACACAATTTCAACACTGGCTTGGCTGTCAGGGTGACAGGAACACCCAGATGCAATGATCAGAAATAAAACCAGATGAGTTTTGGAAAACAAATGACATCTAAATGCTTATTGTCACTTTGATGCTTAATTGGATAGCAATTATTAAGGGACAGAAAATACTATTTGGTAATAATGTTTCTACAGTGAAAATCGGCCTACTTCTTACATAAACTCATCGCTCACTGGATACCTCGCTAATTTATAATGGAACTCCACACTATGACTTCAGAGGTGTGTGAGCCAAAGATCATTTCTTGTGAGAATACCCGGTAGTTTTTCCAAGCTGGTACAGTGTGTTAGTTAATATGAAGAACTAGATTTGGCTAATAAGAGATTCAGGATGCTTCTGTATTCACTGGATATGCAGGTATATATTTGGAAGAATATTTGATGTGCTTAAGTGCGTAATTGTTATTGTAGTTGCTATCACTTTCTTAGCCTGTAGTCTGATTCACACAACTGTATAATCAAAACTTTTATTCATATTTATAAATTTTGGATTTCTTCTTGTGGTTCTCTTTTTAATAGGAAATTTTGATCTCATGATCTCTTCATGGACACACAATCGGGTATATTAAAGAGAGAGAACAGAGAGATTGTACAAGATATCGAATTTTGCTTAACTTCTTTATACAGTTAATTAACTCAGAACTCACTGTTTGTTTAAAAGCCATCACTGGGCACATGATGCCTACCTGTGACCTCAGCTACCTGGGAGTTTGAGCCAGAAGAATTAGAAGTTTGTAACCAGCCTCAACAGCTTGACCAGACTCTGTCTCCAAATGAAAATTAAAAAGGCTGAGTGTGCAGCTTGCCTGGTTTGACAGTACCCCTGGTTTGATCCCTAGTGCCACATTAAATAAATAATCAAATGTATACAGGTTTATTTTCCACAAAATTATGAGTAACAAAGGAATATTTGGATGCGCATTTATTATTGACAAGATCTTGTCTCTAAATGTCTACCGTGGTCAACACAACCTTCCAGCTTATTTTTTCAAGGCAGGCGATCACATTGCTTCAGTCCCTGGTCCCTCTTCTTTATCATTTTTTTTTTCCTCTTAGCTGTTTTCCTTGAATCGTATTCCTACTCACCAGAACCACACAGCTGCTAGCATTCATGAGTTTTTCCTTCAAAACCCAGCTGTGTCCTCTGACTAATATAAAAGCACCCCTTGACTAGGAAATGGTTCAGCCTTGACTCAATTTAATTTTTAATTACATTTCAAGGCTGCCTTTTCAAGGTGATAAAATTTCAGTACAAATAATTCATATGTATGACAGACTGTGTATGACAGTGACTGGCATACAGGATGAATAATTTCTTCTTTGCCCTTTCAGATTCATTTTCCTCCTTCCCAAGAAGCTTATCAGAATGGACAGCACCACCAGGCCCCTTTGCCTTCTGTTCTCAGGTGAATTTGCACAGTGGGAACTGTAGAAGAGCTAAAGGAAATCCTCACCAGGGAGGAGAGGAGAACACAGGTCTTCATCAAAAGCCTGTAGTGTGCAAGGGTTTTATTTTTTAATAGCTAGTGGTGCTTACATGTCCTTGTAACAGTGTTTGTCCCTTGGCTCACCAGGTCTAATGGCTCTCAAGCTTCTCTGCTGCTGTATTAAGCTCCTGGGTGCTCCATGACCCCAGATTTTCCTTCAACTCATTGATCTATCACATGCCACTTAACCTGCCTCTGCCTGAGCATGCTGTGAGTTTCTGCCACAGTCATGATGAGACATTAAGGAAAATTTATACTGCGTGGTAGTTGGTTAGTATAAACAATGATGTAGATCTAGATTCGAGTTCCAGTTCCCTATTTTTCCTGAGTGCAAGTTTTATTTTAGTTGTTACAAAAGTGAAGATAATGTATTCAGTTTCAAGAAATTCAGAGAAAAAGAGAAAATACCAATGGTAGTCGAACATAACATATTTAGCCCTTATATATATTAATGTTATTCAACCAGAATCCTTAAACTGAACAATTCTCCAGATACTATTTCCATATTGTATTTCAGATATTATTTCCAGTTATTGTTTCAGGTGTAAGGACCTTGTGCAACTTTTCCACTGCAGCGAACAACACTGGCAATATTCATTGCCTTAATCATGTAGGAATGATTCTTTTCCTAACTAAATTTATACAATATGGAACTGAAAATTTGAAAATGAACAAATAGTGTTATTTATCACTGTCTTTATATTAGGGCAATGCAGGATTCTATTTATGTGTTTGTGTAGAGGGGTTTATATCATCTCACTTTTATAATTGTTTAAATACATTACCAGATGTTTACAGTTATTTAAAAAGATCACAGTGGTAATTGTAATTAGTACTAGGGTTGTAACTGCTAGATGATTTCAAATTTCCATGAATCAATATATAAATAATCTCCTTGCCCTTATATAAAATGTAGTAATTCTATGTCTTTGCAAGGATGGAAGAATACGTAAAAATATCATTATGTCAACTATTATCTTGAATATTACTGGAACTATGAGTCAGGAGAAATAACTATGCTCCATTCTCAAATTCTATTTGTCATTCATGCCAAGAATGGACAGCTTTGGTGACACAGTTGTTCAATCACTATCTGTCTAGTAGTGTGGCTTTCTTGACATATGGCTCTTATGTGAATTATAGCACTGTGGAAAAGTCATGTGAGACACACTCCATCTTATATATTCCATGTTACATTTTATTGTTCTATTGAGATATATCACTGCTGCTTCTGGGTGCATCATGAACCAGTCACATGTTCTGTCAAAAAGCAAGTGGACTGTGGAACACAAAGAAGTTCACAGATATTTGGAATCAGTTGAGCAGCATAATCCTTCCCCACCTAATGCTATTTGCAGGTCTCTCACTTAATTACCTTACCATAAAACAGGTATCTGGGCCTATGCAGATGTGTCTACATACATATTGTATTAAAACTAAAAGTCATGCAATAATTTTAGCAAATTTGAAAGTAAATCTGAAATATGATTTTGAAGTGGATTATGCCCTTTTCTGGGCATACAAATTTC